CACCTTCAAAAAAAAAAAAAAAAAAATGTGTATAAAACATTTTTAAGCCAAAATTTACAATTTTCCATTTCGAATTATCATCGAGTATGGAGTTAAAACTCAAAATACTTACCTGTTGCGAGCATGGGGTCCACAACAAATACTCGAGCGTCTTTGGGAAATTCTTTGGGCAATCTATAGTGAATGAAAATGTTCCATTAGATTTATACAAACCCCATTAATGTATTCAGTTTCAATGGGTATCCTATTTGCCAAATGCATTCTTACTTGTTCAGATATACAGTCGGCTGGAGTGTTTCTTCATCCCTGCTAATCCCTAGCAATTGGAAAGAATTCAAAACATAATTCGATTTAAATAGCTCAATCAAGAATACAATTCAATGGACTTAAAAGAATTTATTCTTGTGTACACTTTAATATATGAATGGTGATACTCAAACTTATGGAAAATGGGGGTAATTAGTTCATTTTGAAATTTTCCGAAGGTTACAAAATTTTTTAAAAAAATAAAAAAATCTATATATTATCCGATACCTAAATGGTACGTGCTTGTTGCTGGCAGAACAGAAGATACATGCTCCGCAAGAGCAAGGCCAGCTCTCAGTATGGGAACAATCTGCAGATCAAGACAATAATAACCAACAAAAGTCCAACATAAAAATCATCATTAAGGTCCATAATGTATGAAAGATAAGTAAAAGAAAAAAAAATGGTTCTACCCTATGGGAATTGGGAAGCAATTTGCTACTATTTTCGAACGTGTTTGAAAAGACCATAATGGCCTCCATTCAATGTGAAATATTGGTATGAACTATGAAGGTGATGATATGAAAAATTAATCAACCCGATAGATCCAAACAAAAAATAAAAACGATTTCTTCATCTATTTATCAGGATATGATTTGGGATTATAGACAAAAACAAATTATGAGCAAAAGACAGCAGATGATCATTATTCAACAATAATGTAAATATTCACGTCTTTAGCATGGGATCTATATTTCACATGTAAAGTAAATCTGGCGCACTACCAAATAAAAGTACAACATCGCTTCTTCATTGTGATCCTTGGTTAGGGTGTCAGCGGATATGAGCTGAGCAAATAAAGGTTGACGAAAATCTTCGTTTTTCTCTCCGTTTTATCTAATTCAGTAAAAAGATTGAACTATATAATAAATAAACAAATTTCCAAAAAGTTGTATTGAACATTTAGAACTTGGAAGCTCTTAGAACTATTCCCTCGACATTAAGGTAAAAGAACCTCTTGAGCATAAAGGAAGCACATAGACATATTCACTTATTAGTGAGAGAGAGAGAGAGAGAGAGAGACTAACAGCAATGGGATCCCTTGGATCGATAAATTCCACAGAGGCAGCACCCATTGGTGAAGAAATCTCTCCAGTGATAGTCGGCTAGCAGCAATAACAAAAATACAACTATTAGTTCTCTATGCACAAAAAGAGACTCCAAATTGGAACAAAACCATACTACTTAATCTTTCAGAGTATATTTACGAATTACGATACAAATTAGTTAACCAATTTTTATTCCACAATTATTTACATGTAAAACAACATATATTTCTGTGAAAGTAAATCCTCACCAGCCAGTCTCTTGATGCCTCGTAAATTAGAAACCTCCCAAGCTCGGCCATAGCATTCCCTAAAAACAGCCCAATTATAGTACAATGGTAAAGCTTAAAATTGATATGACAAAACTATGACGAAGAACAGCATTATTATGCCACCTTTCAAAAAGACATTTATTCTTCTATGAACTTGGTTTGTTCGATCCCACACCAGTTTTTTCACTGTCGGATCACATACACACACACCCATATGGGTGTGAGTTCCAACAGTGAAAACGAATGAGCATTTACCCATACCGATAGGATGAAATACACCCTATAAACTTCAAGCCAACCCGATTTTTAACTTCACCAAAACATTCAAAATCTAATTTTCTTGACTAAATTAATTCATACATTCTCACACACACACACACACACACACAAGATTATTACAGAAACTTGAGCTTACTGAAGATGGGGCATGGTGTCTGCTCATTCCTAAGAACTGAAATCCAGTGCTTGATTAAAGGATGTGGCGGCACAAAAACCTGCAAAACAACACGACAAACTTCACATTCACATCAAAATTAATCCATCAAACAAAAGGAAAAGGAAGGGAAAAAAAACCAACAACATTCAGTCATCTTTATCAAGACGAAACAAACAAGAACTCCAAAATCACTCAAAAAGCACAAAAAAACAAAAAAAAAGAGGCACGCACTAACCAACATTCTATCGCCGGACATAACTCTGTTCTCGGCGGTGGCCCGGCACTTCACGGTGGCGGCGCCTGCTCCACGACGACCCAAACGCAAAACCTGCTGGGGTTATTGAAGATTGATTTTTTTTTTTCGAAATTAAATAATGAACCTTGAAAAGAAACAAAGGAACACGCTTCGAGTGTTGTACCTTGGGACTTGTACAATCGTTTGAGATGGGATTCGGTGCGGCGAGGTGTTGGGGAGGAGAGAGCACTGAGGAAAGGAGAGGAGAATCGAGAGGATTTAGGAGAAAAGGAGAAGTATTTATGGAAAATGCCATTTTTATAGCTAACAGAAAAGGAAAAAATAATTGTTAATTAATCGAAAAAACAATCAGGAGAAGAGATTTTGTGGGAGTTTGGGAGTGCAGAGAGAGTTTTGATGAAGACGGGAACTGTGAAAGGATGGGATATGAATATGATGTTTCTACTCATGAAACAAAGCTAACCGAATAATAATAGGAAAATTTACGTTATCTTATAAAACTAAAAAGAAGAAAAAAAAAAATTGGTGTGATTTTCATTCTACTCGAAACTCTTCTTTATAAAGAAAATTTATGATGGGACAATAGCAATGATAAAATTGGCTTGTTGGACAATAACTAGTAAAGAGCCCGTGCGATGTACGGGGTGCACAATTTTAAGGCTATTTATCCAGGCTTATAATTATATACATAAATAAAGAAAAATGTACGGACGTGACCCGTGCGAAGCATTTTATCCAGGCTTATAATTATACACATGAATAAAGAAAAATGTACGAGATATATATAGTACGTGACCCGTGCGAAGCACGAGATATATGTATTTAAAGAATATTATATTATAAGATGCAATATTCAATAAAAGTTTTATAATATTCAAGTGGAGTCTTAAAGTCTCTTGTACATTAAGACTATTGACAAAATAATATTTTAATCAATGAGTTTCCTTTCCTTGTAGCCAAATTGTGAATGTGATTTGAAGAGTACAACAAATTGATATATAGCTGACTTACTTTTTTCATTGTAGTTTTTTTCTTTTTTTTTGTATAATGAATTTAAAGATATTCTAAAATATAGCAAAAATTAATTTTTTTATTACATTAAAAATTTTACTAAATATAGACTCTCAATCTATGGTGTTAATCAACGTTTAAGTCTAAAAAATTAGGAATTTTTACCTCTTTTAATCAACGTTTAAATCTAAAAAACAATAGAGTTATTATAAGTTTTTCTCTACATCTTTTAAAATATTAAATATGAGCATATTAAGGCTAGCTTGTAAAATAATTAATATATTATTTCACTAAAACATTTATACTAATAAAAATTTAATTTTAGCATATAAATTTATCCCTTGATATAAGTTAAAGTAACAGTTTTACTTATTGTTGTTCACCATATAATATTTAATTATTATTTTATTATATAATAAAAAAAATATTGTTAAATAGTGTAGTAGAATTGTTATAAAATTATATGATTTTTTTTTTTACAATATGGATTTAATATTTTTTTATGATTTGATAATATAAACAAATCTATACTTAATTTTGACAAATAAAACAAATAAATACTTTAGTAAGTATTTAACGTATATACTAAATAGGAATATATTTGGTATAATCAAATACCAAATATAATCAAATAAGTCAAAGTGTACATTTTTATTTGGTATTTGATTTTTTTATTATTAAAATCTTTTTATTATACTTACCTTTT